TTGGTCCCCATGCAATGGCTCCATACGTTAACATAGGTCTTATTATTGCAGTGTAGATCCAGGCGACTACACGGGGTGAAAGACCCCATGCGCGTCCCACTGTCCTCCGACATTGCTCATAAGCCACGTATGCTCTTTTTGCTCTACTCTGTAGATGAGAGTTCCATGTTAGCTTCTTGTCGAGGATAATACCAAGGTATTTCACCTCTTCAGAGAAGTTTAGTTGGCTTTTGAAGATTTTGGGAGGTTTTAAGCCCGTTAAACTTCTTTTTCTGGTGAAAAGGACCATCTCAGTCTTCTTGGGATTGATCGACAGTGAGTGTTCCTTACACCATGTATCTATCAATTTGAGCCCATCCTGCGCTCTATAGCACAGTGTGTTTACAAATTTACCGGTCTGCAAGATAACTATGTCATCTGCGTATGCAATTGTGTATAATCCATTTTTGTTAGGGTGATTAATCAGGGTGTGCAGAACTATGTTCCAGTGAAGGGGTGATAAGACCCCTCCCTGTGGGCATCCCCTCATGACCAGTCCTTTCACTGTGGTGTCTTCTACATTAATACTTATTGCTCTACTAGAGAGCATCTTGAGTATCTATTCTCCTGCTACCAGGGGTACATTTCTGGAGTGTAGTTGCTGTGTAATTGTTAGAAAGGTTGTTTTATCAAACGCTCCCTCGATATCTATGAATATACCTAGGGTGGATTCTTTATTGTCTAATGATCTCTTGATTCTGCCAACCACATGGAGAAGGGCATAATCAGTAGACCTTCCCGTAGTATATGCATGCTGATTTGGATGAAGTGGGTGAACTAGTACTTCATCTCTTATATACCGCTCACATAGCCTCTCCATGGTTTTTAAGAAAAACGATGTGAGACTAATTGGTCGGAATGCTTTTGGTAGGGTGTAGTCCATCCCACCTGGTTTGGGTATAAATACTACTCTTACTTCTCTCCACTTACTGGGAATATACCTCAGAGCTAGAGAGGCTCCGAATATTCCAACCAGGTGAGGCATAAGAGTGTCCAGTCCCCACTGAAGTAGGACCGTCAGGTCCTGGTGACTTGAAGGGGGAAAAGCCCGATATAGCTCATCTTATTTTGTCCTCATCAATTACTGCACTAGCAGATAGTCAGTCGTATTGTGAGGGTGTTGTTGGTACATCCATCCAGTTCGTCGTTCCAGGAAATACAGAACCTGGGAAATGAGTTTCCATAAGAATCTCAGCACTCTCCTGGAGGTTGGCGGCTTTGTCGCCATTTTTCCTCGTCAGGATGCCGATACTCTTATGGTGGTCATTTGATAGTGCCTTCTGTAGCCTAGAAGCTAGTGGGAAGTCTTCGACTGCGCACGGCTGGTGTAAACCTCGAAGTAGGAATGGGTCAATTGACGCCTACTGCGCAACCTCTGCTGCAGGCAACCAGTGATGCAATTGAACCCAGGTTTGTGTTTAATAAACCCTACAAAATACAAATAAAACATAACACAGAGGCAGATGCTACAAAATGCAATACGCATATACAGACGTCTCAAAAACCAAAGAAGGCTCAGGATGTGGAGTGTACTCCAAATCACTAAGCCTAAGAATTAATAAGTGGGGAATGGAAAAAAATACCAGCGTGGTCCAAACAGAACTGGCTGGTATCTCAATCGCCACAAAAGAAATAACCAGAAAAGGAATTTCTGGCGAATACATAACAATCTGCACTGACAACCGCCAAGCCATATTAGCCTTGAACAGATAACGTGTTACCTCAGGGCTAGTACTGGAGTGCCACCAAGATTTAGCCAAAGCCTACCTTATTAGTTTTTCCTTGTATTTTCAGGAAATAAGGCCCAGAATCACACGGATCTAGGTTTCCACGTTAAAGAGGATAAATGCTGTAGAGACCATGATAAGTGTCCCAGATTTCTTTCAACTGGTGAATGCTCCCAGGGCATTTGCAATAATTCTCCGTTTACAAGGTAAGAATAATATTGGAGAATATTTTTCTGATTCTAGAATCATCTGTCATTATACAATACAACCCTTATTACCTTTCATGTGAACCTACGACTTTGTAGGTACGTTTGGCAGACACCCGATAGAAAAACGACAACCAACCCAGATAATGCCTCGCAAAAAGCTGAAGTAAAGCTATCGGGCACTTGTACAACATATTTCATTTGGAAGAATAGTTCTAAGTAACTTCCTATATATGAAAAGCTGAAATTAATTTCATTATGTCGGGATGACCACCAATAGTCCGGTTGTGGAGTACTAGATCCACGTCAGTACCGCGGTAGTCATTTTGAACAGAGTGAACCGTATGAATATCCCGGACGGACAAAATTGATTCCTACAAGTCATAAGCTCTATCTCCAGTTGATTCAGGAGGATGTACCACTGTGCCACCTGCAGACAAAGTCCGGAAGCAACTCCACTCCTGGGTGGGAGTAAGAATATTCTGGAGAGGTGCATATTACAGGTGAAAACACCTCAACCTTGCCTCTCATGTAAACCTACGATTTTGTAGGTATGTATGGCAGACACCAGACAGAAAAATAACAACTAACCCAGCTAGTGCCGCACAGAAAGCTGAAGAAAAACCATCAGGCACCTGTGCAACATCTTTCATTTGGACGATTCCACGCAAGTAACTTCCTATATAAGAAAAGCTGAGAGTATTTCCATTTGGTCGGGACGCCCACCGATAGATCGGTTTCGGAGTACTAGCTCTTCGTGAGTACCGTGAGTGTCATTTCAGACGGAGTGAACGAGGAGATAGTACTCCGAAAACAGTCTATCGGTTGGTATGTTGGTAGTGTTGGTACACTCTTCTCGAACATATTCAGTTTGTTGGTGACAGGCATGGAAGTGCTTTGCGTGTTCGGCGATTTTCCCCTATCGAAAATAATGGATCAAATAATTTGTACCAAATTTTGTGTTTAAAAAGGAATTTAGTGCTCAAAAACACCCAAAATGTTGACAGTGGCATACGATGATTTTACTCTTAGTCAGAAAAGTGTTTACAAGTGGTACAAGTTTTTCACAGAAGATCGAGAAGATGTGAATGACGATGCTCTCCTAGAATGCCCCAGCACATCAACAACAGATTGAAATGTTCGTGGATGTTCATGGATATATGGTTATGACATAGAAACCTAAGTCCAAAAATTCCAATGAAAGATCCCATAAGAGCCAAGACCAAAGAAAGCATTCCAAGTTCGATCAAATATCAAGGTTTAGCTCATTGTTTATTCGATTACCATGCATCAGAAATTCTTGCCAGATGGTCGCGTACAGTCAATAAGGAGTATTATCTTGAAGTTATGCGCCGCTTGCGAGAAGCAATATGAAGAAAACGTCCAGTATTGTAAAAAAACAATTCATGGCTTCTGCATCACAATAATGCACCCGCTCAATCGTCATTGCTTGTTTTTTGGCCAAATACAACACACTAGATTTCGCCCCCTGTGACTTTCTTCTGGGAGAGCTCAAGGACATACCAAAAAGTGCATATTAGGAACTGCTTCGATAATTGGAAAAAACGCGGACACAAGTGTAGACGAACCTTATATAATTGTCAATTATTATATCTGAGGGGACGAAATAGAAATTGGTTAATAAATGAATATTTTTCGAGAAAAATTAAAATTCGCCTTATTTTTTGAAGAGCCAGCATATTATATTGTGTAGCGTTCCTATGAATGATATCTGTTTCAATTCCATAACGAATGGAGTTCAAACTGAATAGAAAAAAGTGATTTTCGTATAAATCAATGCTCAATGCTAATATAAGAGTAGTTGTTTCGCGAGTTTTTTTTATGTAATTCAATGTTCATGTGTCTGTAGTTGTTTCGAGGGGGGTTGTTCTTCTAGTTTGTATCTGAAAGTACCTTCTACGCATAATCTACACTTACTCGTAAAGAGTTTATTTGGAGCTTTCTTGCTTTTTTTCTTCTTCAGGAAGTTTTCTACAATTTTTTGTAAGAAGATGAAAATATTTCTTTCAAGTTTCAGGTTTCATGCCAATAACATTATGTTTTCCCTCTAGTTTATTTATTTAAATCAATACTGTTGTAAGTCATGCCCTAAAGAGCCATTGGTAGCCATAAACCAATTGTGACGTAGCTAAGAGCTCGCAAATGTTCCATGTTCGCCGCCGTTCCAAGCGTGGCGTTGCTTCGAGAATACTGCCACTGGCTTCGATGGAATTTCGAAGAATATTCTACCGGATTCGATTACGATATATAAACGCTAGCCACGAGCATATCGAGGCAGTCAAGTGGAAGTTACAGTGCGGTACGCGAAGCGATCTAGTAAGGCGACAGACATTCGAATAATAGTTGAAGTTTTTGTTGAAGAGTTTGTTGTATTTAAAGTGAAATAAAGTTAAATTGGATTATTGTTCAGTGTAGTCAATTATTGGTCAACCTACGGGAAAAATGTAACAATATATAATTATGCATAAAATCATATATCTGTTCTAATAACACATTTATATATTCATAAAAGTGTATAACAGGTTTGTCTTATTTTTTGCGAAATTCGTTGCAAAAATCATGTTTTTTTATATCGATTGTGAAGAGTCAAGTAAATGCTTGAAGTCAGGAGTTTAATTTGGAAACGAATGATTTTCTATGAATAATAATTTAAAAATTTCGGTATTTTTGTCAATATTGTATTGTTGGAGAGTTGCATCCACTACAGTTTGTTTGAAAGGTTCACAATGCTGATGTATTTAACACAAATGACATTTCTCCGTACTACAATTTCAAGCAAAGCGTCTAAACACTGCTCAACATAACAACTATTTATATAAACTGCCCAAAAAATACAGTCGATGAAAACCATGTTGGGCACCTGAGAAAATTGTACAATTGATAATTTTGCATTTGTGTAATATTCAAGTAACCCAGATCATTTGGACAATGATGAACTATGTTTCAAGTAGATTTTAAAAATTCATGGGATCGGCAGATGTTCATATTCGGATGTGACAAAATATATTTTCATTCAATTCAATTCAACAACTATGGAAGGGTTGCGTGCCCGTCTTGAACTCGTCGTTTGCGCAGACCTGAGACTGCAAGCTGTGCTGCAACTCCTGGGTCTGCGTGTAGAAAATTCAAACCAAAAATCACCAGAAGTGGGATTACTGTATATAGAGTATACTGTGGTTTTACTGTGATAGAGAGGTCCAATTTGAATTTTTTTGGAAATTTGCGTCATTTGCGAACAATTGTCATTCATTGACTTGTATAGTATTGATTGCAGTGCATCTATCTTTTGGCATCTTGTAGCAGTATACAGAGAAAGGCTTTTTTCTGAAGCTCGCCTTATTTACTAAGACAAGCGAAGCCGGTTACTACCTCTTGATGCAGAGATATTAGTATTAGTTCAGCATAATTTGCCCTGAGTGCCCTAAGTTAAATAATCATTGTGTGATTACTGATGTTATTTCTTAAGTGATACTAACTAAATAAATCAATTAATTTCCTAAAAATTTTTTTTTGAATCCGGAAATCGGCCGGATAGTATTTAGGTCACCGGATATACCGGATAATTAACTGATGGCCGTTTCTACTCTCGATGTATTTTTCTGTAAATATGCCACAAAAACCCTCAAGTTATGTGTATTGAATAATTTCGAAAACAAAATTTACAAAATTTATGAATTTTTCACTGGCAGCATAATCATTATATTACATTTCGGATTTATTTTTGCATCAGATTGCCATATGAAATATTTTTTCGTTATTTTCAGGTCTCATTGTGACTGCGATGCGGCATTCAGGAAGTGTTTACAGAACGTAAACAGTGAAACAGCCAACACAATTGGTGCAATATTTTTCAATATCATCCAAGTTATTTGCTTTAAAGAGAGAACCCCTTGCACCCCTTGGCAAAGGTGGGTAACAGAACATAATTATGAAAAAGAAAATTAAGAAAAAGAAAGAAGTTGCGGCTTTCGAAAATGTTTCTAACCATACCGGGAGTTCATTGGAATGATTTGTTCTATCATAAAAATCATCAATTGAGAGTAACAACTTCTTGAAGGACTGATGCCTTCATTAAGCTGGAATTGTTCCCGTTTCGAGAAAGCTTTTACTGTACTATTTTTTCTGATACTTCAGCTGGAACTCCAGTCATAAGTTATGAAACTATTGTGGTATAGAAAAAAATATCTGTATTCACATATCTAAAGAAATGAACTTTAAACGTTCAAGCCAGTCTCGGATATACCTACACAGTAGGTTGAATGGACTGACGCGTATCAGAAAACAACTACTCCCCTGGCTAATTCCACGAAGGGCGTTATATTATATCCGACAGGCGTCGGTGCAGGAATCTTCACAGAAAATTTCCTGCATATGCAATTGGCTATACAACTGAAAGAGTCGATCCTCAATTTTGGAACGGGCACACTTCTTTTAGGACCAAAATCATGATCTCAAAGTTAAATTAAATAATTTATAAGTTGTGACCTGTATTGAATGACCCCTTCCGGTCTTGTAAGCAGGGTATCATCTAGCTGGACATCGTCAAGAGCGTTTCTTGAAGATCGAAGAAAACGAAACGTACTACATTGGAAATATTTGTACATATGGCCGTGTTCAAATCGTTGGAGTTTTTAGTAAAGCTAACCACATAATGATGTGGTTAGCTTTACTTTCCTTCAAAATTGAGTGCCTTATAGTCTGACGTAATTATATACAATTTTATTGAACACAAAACTCACGCTAAAAAACTATCCAGAAGATTATCAATTTCCGGATACAATATTTTCAAAGGTTCACATCTGAAGAGGGTTGGGAAATAGTTTACCCATCGAAAAACGGGCACCTCGTGGTTGAATTAGGTAAAAACATTGGTATCTCATTTCCAAAAACTTTGAATTGTTCACACATGGTTATTTTTTATTTCATTTTTATTATTTGTGTTTATTGTTTATTTTTATTAATTTCAGATGGATTAATATTCCAGAGAAATACAATGACAAATGTGCATTAAATTTCAAGAAATCAGCTAGGTATGTTGGAAGTATAGTGACGTCATTTAGTCCTAGGAATAAAAAAGCAAAATTTTTCAACTTCATTTTAAGATTATTTGGATTTCTGTGATATTTCTTTAATAAATTGTTTTTTTTATCTATTTTTCTTTCAATCATTGTTTATTGGACACTCGACAAAATGACAATTGACAACTGAAATGAAGGGTGTTTGTTGTCTAATGCAATTCATAATGATTCGTAATTTACCTTAAAGTAGATTGTTTAGAATACAGAACAGAATCTCATAACATATTCAAAAAACACTTTATTGTGAGATTTTCACTAAACTACTAAACAATTTCACAAAAACGTAACACGTGTTTCGTTAAACTATGGCTTCTTCAGGCTTGTCTTCACTAACTAATTCTACATATTCAAAGCTTAATATACCTTATTCTACAATTTGAAGTACCTGATTTTCACTTAAGTTTGTATTGAATTAAATTACCCGAGCTTATGTCCCAGTTTCCACATTTGAAAACATATTTAGTAACGGGGACTTATTCAATTCTAATTGATAATTCAGTAAATTACACCAATTCCTGAATCTATTGACTTTTGAACATTCCAGAAGATTGAGTTTCAAACTCTTCTCTTCTAAATGTAACACATCGTATTCATAATTGAACTCATGTACGTCTGCTAAAAAGTGATTTGCAAATGTGAAATTGGTCTTTCTATTTACAAAACTACTTCTATGCAATTGAATTCATTGGGAAAAATGTTTTCCTTGTTTGGTAAATATACAGTTTTAAGCAAAAGAGCCACAAGTCAGCTTATATACTCCTGATCTATCCGACACCGAAGTTTTGTCTTTATGGTTTTTAATAAATTTACTTTGACTTTTATCCGTTCTGTAAACTACGTTTAAACATTTTTTGAAGAAAAAATGGTTGGTTCATCCAAATATGACAATATCCTATAATTGACGTTATAGCATCTTGAATTTGGGTAGACCAGGTTCATGGCTTGTTTTTGTAGTTTTTTGGGAAGGAGTCTATAATATTTACCTTATATCTGTTGTTAACCGCAATTTGTTTGATCAAACTCAGCTCTCTCTGGAAATTACTCTTAGATAGTGGAATATTCAATAGTCTGTGAAGCATACTATTGAATGCAGCAGCTTTATGCTGGTATGGGTGTGTGGAAAAATTATCTATGATAATGTCCGTGTTCGATGGTTTGTGGAAAATTGCAAATTCATGTTTATTGTTACTTTTGTAACGGTTATTAAGTCAAGGTAATTTATTGAATTACTTATCTCCCCCTCAGTAGTGAATTTTATTGACGGGTGGATGGAATCAATAGATTCAGGAATTCGGGTAATTTACTGAATAATCAATTAGAATTGAATAACTCCCCGTTAGAATGTGGAAACTGGGACATAAGCTCGGGTAATTTAATTCATTACAAACTTAGTTAAAATCAGATACTTGAAATGTAGGTACTTCAAATTGTAGAATAAGGTATATTGAGCATTGAATATGTAGAATTAGTCATGTTCAATGGGTCAATCTACTCATCATAAGTGTACGTTTAGTAAATATCAGAAGAATGTCATTCATTCTTTGGTCGAAGGGTCCTAATAGTAGAGGAGAAACAAACATAAAGAAGAAGAATAATAATACATTTCTAACCTCTTTTGAGTCTTTGAACTCGATCATTACGTGTTGTAAAGACTTACGAAAACAATTTCTTACTAGCAAAATGGATAAACCAGTAGTCCTAGCTCGTGTCATGAAAGTTTTGGGAAGAACTGGATCCCAGGGACAATGTACCCAGGTGAAAGTTGAATTCATCGGTGAACAAAACCGACAAATCATCAGGAACGTTAAGGGGCCTGTCAGAGAAGGTGACATTCTCACGTTGCTGGAATCCGAAAGAGAAGCTAGAAGACTAAGATAACTTTTTTGCAGTTATTTCCATCTGTAAGCATTGTATTGTTTAAAACTCTCATATTGTGAAAAAAAGTTAGTGAAGACACGACCGAAGAAGCAATTGTATGGCGAAACACGTTTAATTTTTGTAAAACCGTTTAGTAAAAATGTCACAATAAAGTGTTTTTTGAATACGTTAGTTATACATTTTCATCAAGTATCGGTCAATTCCGTCATATAGAATTTCATAAATATTCCATCTCAACTGAAAACTTATCATCGAGTAGCTGAACATCAAAACATCAAAATTCTTGCATATAAAAAACGCGGAAGTATATGCATTTTCTCGGGAAATCCATCAGAACAGCGTGGTTTTTTGCAGGGCGATCATTAGTATCGAATTTAATAGAATATAGTGAATATCTACAGTAGTATAGACGACAGACTACAAATTGACGCCATTTACACTAACATCAGCAAGGCGTTCGATAAAGTTATCCACAATCTTCTTCTCAAGCGGCTTGCTGAGGTTGGGGTACAAAGCTAACTTCTAAGATGAGTGGAGTATGTAAAATACAGGTCCCAATCTGTAACAGTTCAAGGATTTCGGTCGCATTAAGTGTTTCACAAAGATCACACTTAGGACCTTTATTTTTCTTCATGTATGTAAATAATATAAAGTAGTGTTTCAATTATGCCAACTTTTTGTTATATACAATAAATGATTGTTACAAGATCCAAGATGACCTTAATAGACTTTCTAAAACTTATTCTTCGATTTTCAAAAATGCCAATGAATCACATTTACAACAAACATCAACTTGGTACAATTTGATTGATCTATGGAAAATGATCGAATAACTATAGTGAGTAAGATTAGGGACCTAGGCATTATATTTGAATCCAAAATGATTTTTGATCTACATGTCGAATCAATCGCAAACTTCGCTTCACAGATGTTGGGCTATGTAATGAGAACAAGTAAAGATTTCGAAAACATCAAATCTTCAATTTGTGTTTATAATGCATTTGTGTATAGTAAGCTAAATTTCGCTTCTATTATATGGTGTTCCCAATACAAAACTTATATAAACCGCCTGGAAAACATCCAGAAAAAGTTTCTCAAATATATTTGTTTTAAACAAAATTTCAATCACAACAGCGACATTGAAAATGTGGGAAAACATTTCAATATTATATCCCTGTCAAGTAGAACTCTGATATTTTATTTTTACATGAAATCATCTCCAATTCTCTAGATAATGCCAATATACTGAACCAAATTGAAATCAACGTTCTTATCCCGTCATTTAGAACAAATTTCTCATTTCACATAACCTTTTCGCAGAACTAATTTGTCTCAAAATTCTTCTTTATGTAAATTTTTTTGCGACATTAAAAAGTACCATCATCAAATCGATATTTTGTCTACATCCCATCAAAAATTAAAGACCATTTTGAAACGTCTCACGTAGTTTCGCTTAAATTAGTTAAGGGTGATGACTAATGAACAAATTTTTTGTCTTTGTCACCTTGATATTTATATATTTTTTTTGTTTCAATTGAAGGTTCGAGAATATCATTTAAGTTTGAGTCAATGTTAAATTGTTACTGTGATGTCAAAAGTTCTACAAGTTATCAACTTATTATTATTATGTACTGATGTATTATTTTATAATTTGTGATATTGATGACTTATTTATTTTGTGGAAATTCATCTTCAATTAAATGATATAGATATAGAAATAAAATACTTTGTCTAATTTCCACTTACTTGATGTATTGATATTAATACGACCAAGATTTCGGTTTTTACACCATTCTCAAGTATTCTAATACTACTGACCTAAGAGACATATTGGGGTATATATATCCGAGAGTAGGTAATAAGATATATACCTACATTCATTAATACCAACTACGTAAATTTCAAACTGTGGTTAATTGGTAATCTTTATAAATTCAAAAGTGGAGACCTACACAAATCTGTTTGTTCGTTAAAGGTTCTATATTTTGAGTGGCATGGAAGCCATGGAAATCAATTAAAAGCTCAAAATATAGAACCCTTAACGAACAAACAGATTTGTGTAGGTCTCCACTTTTGAATTTATAAAGATGACAATGCAATTAATCACAGTTTATGTAGTTGGTATTGATGAATGTAGGTATATATCTTATTATCTACTCTCGGATATATATAACCCGATATTTATCTTAGGTCAGTAGTGTTAGAATACTTGAGAATGGTGTAAAAACCGAAATCTTGGTCGTATTAATATCAATACATTAAGTAAATGGAAATTAGACAAAGCATTTTATTTCTATATCATTTAATATTATTTTATAGTTTTACACCTACTACTGTGAAGATATACGAATTTTGTATTAATGTATATTTCTTATTTGTATGTAATTGGTTACTTTCTGTAAATAAAAGCGATTGTATAGGTGTAGAGCATACCACGAGGCGTTTGAGATCCTTATACAAGTACATTTGCTGTTGTCAGGTTCAGTTTATGCGGTTTCAGCCTATTTTCATATATTATCATCTTCGACACTTTTACAGTATTGACAAGACACTGATGTTTTCTTGTGTTTTGGGGAATATTGAATACGTTGTGGAAAATGAGAATTGCCGAATTGTTTGGAACTAATCGTTCACCACCCTCCGGCTGATACAAATTAGCTAGTCTGATGTAGTGCTCCGCGACTATCGAAGCGAGTCGATATTTGTCGGTTTTCAGCTCCTGATGAGACGGAACTAGATGTTCCTTTCGAACTCCACAGAATATCCAGGCCACTCTATTGAAATTACTATAATAATAATAATATCTATCTGGATTACTCTGTCGAAATAGCTGTTCTCTTTGTTGGAGTTATTGGCACTGAATATTCCCGAATTTGAAGGTCATGCGGCTTTCTTCAGTAAGGCAAAAATCTTGACTGAACAAATGCAGGAGGCTGTCATTCTTGATTAATTGCTTCTACTTGGCGCACACGATTCTCGAACGCAATGGTCACTCACTTTACAGTGTGGGGAGTAATTATTGGTTGGTAATTTATTTCATTTATTTATTTATTCATTTCATAAATTATTCTACAGCATGAACCCAATTACACAATAGGGAGAAACAGTGGCATTTACAAATATGTACTTACATAATAATAATTAAAAACAGAACTTCCAGTTAGCTAAGAAATGTCTTTTGATATGTATATTCTGGCAGATGATTATATCTAGGACACTACTAACAGAATTAGAGATATCACAAATTGTATAAATTGGGGATTTTTCATTGTACTTGTTCGCGGAGTGTTGAGATAAAAGGTGACACTATTCCTAGATGACCGTCTAGGAACCCAAAAATTCACCATATGTAACAATTGTAACAGAAATAGGGTCCGACAGGCACTACCTTTAAGGTATGAAATTCATATACATATACACGAATATAATTAAGACAAGAAGTGAATAAATTCTCAGCTTAAGAAGTACAGTTGAGTTTTGATGAAAAAACGTTCAGCGATAATTAATGAGCGCGGAAAAAACTATGATAAATATATTATTGATGGAATGACTAAGACTAACCATGCAACATAATCCCATTGAGTTAATTTGGGCTGATATAAAAAATTTTGTTGCTGGGCATAACACTACATTTAAATTTGCTGACATGAAAAACATCTTCTATAATGCGTTGGAAAAGTGGAAAAAATGCATTGATCACGTGCATCAAAAAGTGTAGTAAAAAATGTGGAAAGTAGGTATACAATATTATAGAGCAATAAATTTAATAATTTGTTATGAATGTGAATGATAGTGCCACGTCTTCTGACGAACTAGAATGGCAACAGTAACATCAACAGTGGTATTCATCACTTCATGAAAGAAAGTCCTGACAATCATCCTAATTTTTATTTTTATACTATCAGATTAATTATACAGGGTGTCAATTTGAAAACTTTTCACTCTTAATATCCTCCAGTAAACAATATGAGGAATCAAAAAAACAGGTCAATTTTAATGTCAAGGGGGACACTTTCAAGGACTATTTGTAGCCCTCGTGGTTCAACTTCCAAGGAGGGGTAGATGTCACCCTTGGAATTTTGAATGGGAAGGGGGGTCAAGTGGCACATCATTTTGATATACGTTTAATTCTGCTTCCAATGGTACCATGACTAATTTTATTTTTTGATGAGCATTTTCCGAAAAATAGCGTTCTAAACTTACACATGTAATTAGAATTTGCCTGTTCTGAGATGCATTATTGTATTGACTCCGTTTAATAAAAATAGTTAGAAGAGTAGGTGGCACTGTTCCAACCCTTGAATGACAGGAATAAATGTATTGCACGTGGGATTTTTTATTTTTTGGTTATTAGCCTTTCACAAAATAAAATTTAATTTGCAAGAAATACATTTCAAACATCAAATCTGCCTACACTTATCTTATAAACTGTTTGAAATGTCGTCCATTTTGCTCTAAACAATAGTAAAGTCTGTGTTTGTACTCCCCTTTTACATTACCGAAAACTTCACTAGGAATTGACTGGCATGCTGCTGTAATTCGTCCTTTAAGTTCTCAAATATCGGAAGGTTGTGTTTAAGATGCCCCCAAAGAAAGGAACCTAAGGGCGTTAAATCCGGTGATTTCGGAGGACAATTTAACCACTGTCGGAAGGGAACAAAATAATGAGGTGGAGCACCGTCCTGCTGGAAATGTAACAGATCCTCATTCAAAAGCTCATTATCTTCTGTATCCATGTTTCTAGCTCGTGAGTTATAAGAGGATCGATAGTCTCTTCAAGTATTTCAAAGTACAGATTGTCAGTCAAGTTTTTTTCCAGAAATGATGGACCAATAATGACATTTCCAAGAATACCAGCCCAAACATTAACTTTTTGTGGGTATTGTGTGTGCTCTTACCAAAAACTATGTGAGTTTTCGTCACTCCAATAGCGACAATTTCGTCTATTAACTTTGCTATTTAGAAAAACTGAACACTTATTGCTGAAATAGATGTTTAACCGAAGATTAGGGATGGTAATGACTAGATAAGACAAAATTTCATAAAACTCTTATTCTTGTATCATAATCATCCTCGTGGAGCTCTTGGAGAATCTGTATTTCATAAGGATGAAATTTATGCATTTTCAATTATTTTCTTACAGTCTCACGTGACATTCCCGTTTGTTTTTATACTGATCGTAAAGAGCTCGTGGGCTCTGCATCAAATATTCCCAAAACTTCAATTGGAGCTGCTTCAATTAGTAGATATTCTGAAGTTTTTTTTTATTTGTCACTGAACCAGTTTCGTAAAACTCATTCACCAAATCAAGCACATATCGGTGACTTACATTTCAATTTGGATGTCTTTCGTCAACAAGACATGCCGCCCTTCGAGCGCACTTTCCACCTTCTCCATAAATTATAATTCTTTCAATTCTCTTTTGAAGAATGTAAACCATTTTTACACTTTTATTCACTCATTAAAGTAATCATTAAACAGACCAACAGGTATAATTGTATGCACAATACTACCACATCGTTCAAATTTGCGAACCAATTTTTTGCCTGAAAACAGAAACTTTTCACAGCAGAAGTAGCTAAAAAGGACGGCTATCTGTACACTTTCTGCGATGAGAGTAAAACATTCAGCATTTACTAAACATAACTTCACTAACATCTACGTTTTACTGTTAGACTACTTTTTGATGTAAATTAATTGGAGTTAATGACTAATGTAACCCCGATTAAGGGGTTGAAACAGTACCACCTAATATTCTTAATAGTTCTGGTCAAACCATGCTTCTCAGTATAGACGTACCTACTAATATGTAATTACTTCTGTTAGTTTAGAACGCTACATTTTGGAAAATGCTCATCAAAAAATAATATGTCAGGGTACCATTGGAAGCAGAATTGAACGCCAATCAAAATTATGTGCCACTTGACCCCCTACCCATTTAAAATTCTAAGGGTAACATCTACTCCTCCTAGGGCGTTGAACCACGATGGCTACAAATAGTCCTTGGAAGTGTCCCTCTTGATAACAAAATTGACCTTGTTTTTTCGACTCCTCATATTGTTTACTGGAAGGAAGATATTTAGGGTGAAAAGTTTTCAAATTAACACCTTGTACATGTACTTTTGCGAATCCTTGTATAGTATTTTTAATATATTTTATCAATTTTCGTTGGAATTGAGGAATTGCAAATTTATATTTTAGAAATTCTTAATTTAAATACAATATTTTTTTCTCATTACGGCCCTGTTGAAAAAAATACTTTCGCGTGTTTTTGTTTACATTTACTGAACCTTGGATTGGTATTTAGTTTTGTATTCAACTGTTCGATTACTTTCAAACATTGAGGAAAATAATTCCAGTAAATTCATTGTTTTTCAGGAATGGGTATACTAAAGCTGAAGCAGATGCTCTCTGCGCTCAAATCCACTTCAGGCCATCCGAGAAATATGTTCCTTTAATGCCATTGCTGTGAACACATACTTTAACACCGCTGGCATCATGTTGTTGATTCTCCTATGTTTTTAGTTAATTCAGTTTTCAGTCTTTAGTGAAATTTAACAAAAAAGTTTCACTATCAAAGTGGAATGATTTTACGCATATTCTCATCCTTGTTACTTTTAACCACTGTCAACCCTCAAATCTTCGATGTTGTCGAATGTTCAATGGGTCGAATGTTGCCTTTTTCGAGAAAGGATATACTCGTAATTACATTTCTCACAATACCCTACTTGTTGAATTTCACTTTGACAATCAACTCGAAAACGGCATTAAGAACTGTAGTCCTTAGGTTTGAAATTATCGAAGTAAAGGGTCGGATTTAGGAGAGAGCGTGTGGGGCTAGTGCCCCGGGGCCTCCATAGGAGAGGAGCCCCACACTAAAAATAACAAAAATATCCAAATTTTGACGGGTCAGCAACTTTTACGTGTTTCCTCCCAAAACATTTTTTTCCATTTACTATCAATTGTTAATTTGATCGAGCATTTCAGTGGCAACACTTTTTTTAATGAGTAATTTGTACCCATGAGTTGAACAGGAATGAACTAAGTAAAAAAACGAAAAACGGTTAACCCTGCAGGCCTTTCTTAAAACTTCTCGCTTCTTCAAACTCAAAATTTCAAAAATTATTTGACAGAATCACTTGAATGGAATTTTTTAAACGCCACTATCCATTATATGCAGTTGTTTACATTACAGTTTAAATAAAATGTTACATTCTTCAAGAAATTCAATAATATTGTTGGTATTGGTATTTTGGAAAATTTCACTCAGTTTGGAGGGAATTTTATTGTTCAGTCTCTCAACTGTGAAGAGCGGGCACTCTACCAGAACATGCTTAACAGTCACAAGCACTTCACACGCGAAACATTTTCGAATCAAAACAAATCAAATCAAAATATACTTTATTGTCCGAAGATTTGCATCTTGCATCTTTGCATCTTGCAGAAATACAATGTTAATATAAAAAAAATGTAGATATAAAAAAGTTCCAAAAATGTATGAATGTAAATATAAAAAAAGTTCTAAAAATGTATAGATAAAATACCACCATGTATAAAGTGATAGTACAAAGAATAAATTGCTAATTTGGAAAGAGCTAACTAAGGAAAAAACCGCCATTTGGTGGCGGTTCTTTCCTCAATAGATGTTCATGCGTAAGGCGAGTGTGGCCCAGTCGTAATCTGGTAATTATGACTTGATGGAAGCGGTTTGTTGCTTTGTTGTTCCAAGGATATAATGTAGCCTTGATTTCCTTAAGTTTGGAAGGTTTTTGAGACCAGTGGTGATTCCACACTTCTACAATTTTGCAATGGAAATGGGATTTGAGATCTATCGACAATGCTTTCATACTAATATTACATGTTGGATGTTCTACAGCTTCTCTGGCAAGTTTATCGGCTACTTCATATCTTTGTTTCGTTAATGTCTTTTTTCTGTTGTATATTCCTTCATACTAAATAACTCGACTACGATTATAAATGAAGAACAAGACCTCACCTTCACTCAATATTCGGTAATGTACAAATAAGCCAAATTTTTGTTTTTTACAGCATTCTGATGTGGGTGGTCCTAGAAGTACCCGGCCCAACAAAGAAAACACGAAAATTTTGAAAAAAAATCTATTCATTTTTCAACATATTCTCCTTGCAGCTCCATACACTTTTTTCAGCGACCTTCAATATATTCGATACCGTTTTTATAATAAGAACTGTCTTGCACCTCAAAATAGCCATCAACTGCCGACATCACTTCTTCATCTTTGGAAAATCTTTGACCACTGAGCCATTTTTTCAAGTTTGAGAACAGAGAATAATCCGAGGGGCCTGATTCTGGCGAATAGGGTGTATGAGGTAGCAATTCTGCTCATTGCGATAATAGATTTATGAGCTGGTGCATTGTCTGAATGAAACAACACTTTTTTCCTAGTCAAATGCGGCTGTTTTTGTTTAATTTCTTCAATCAAACGTTGCAATGATAATTTCGCATAATACTCGCCGTTGATATTTTCACCTTTTTTTTAGATTGTCAATGAGAATTACCATGCGCATTCAAAAAAACCTATGCCATGACCTTCCCTGCAAATGAAACGGTCTTCGCCTTCTTTGGAGCCAGTTCTCCCTTTTGAGTCCACTGTTTTGATTGTTCTTTTGTCTCCGGTGTGAAGTGATGATCCCATATATGTTTCATTCATGGTTGTGAAACGACACAAGAATTCTGCTTTGTTGCTGCGAAACTTCGTTAAACACTTCACGACACTGTTTTTGCTCGAGTGTGAGCAAACGCGGCACCCATGCATCTTGCACACAGCTTTCTCATGTCCAAATTTTCAGATAATATACGATATGTTCCGCACTTTTTGGAATGCCCACTAAGTCTGCTAGCTCGCGCACTTTCAGTCGACGATCATTCAGTACCATTTTGTGGATTTTCTTCACCGTTTCTGGAGTCGTCACCTCATTTGGTCGACCACTGCGATGCTCGTCTTGGCAGCTCGTACGGCCTCGTTTAAACTTTGCTACCCAATATTTTACTGTTGTAAACGAAGGAGCAGACTTACCCAGAGTAGAATCCAATTCTTTACTGTTGTAAACGAAGGAACAGACTCACCCAAAGTAGAATTCAGTTCAGCTTTTATATTGGTTGGGCTGAGGCCTTTCAAATTGAAGTATTGTACCACATAACTATGACCAATTTTCCCCATTTTCACAAATTCACCGAAAACGTTCGCTTTTGATGGCTGCCAAACGAATACTATACAACGCCGCATCTTCAAACTTGAAACATATGCTTTATAGATTGTGTGTACTTTCGACGGTCGTGTTGGTCGCTGGTTCAATCCTCAGGCTGAAAGATCGATTTTCACTTGCTATCATTCAACCCGTGTTAGGAATCACACGTTAAAAGGTAAGACCTCGTTAGTCTTCAGCTCTAGGTCAGGCCGGATATTTCTGGGACCACCCTGAATCTTACTACAATTGCATAGGGAGAAATTGCTTCAGAAAGCAATTTCTCAATTAAGCGACAAAATATTATCAGGAATTTGAACTCTACAACGGCGAAATACACGGCAGACAGCTGGATATTTGAAACAATTATTGAAATTTGATAAATGTAATTTTGAACCTCTGGCAAACACTTCAGGAAATGGTTAAGACAACAGTATTTTTGTTCTGGTGTGGAGAAAGTATTTTCGAAAAAGTTATTGAAATAATTAATTTCTTTTCTCAAATTATAGGAAAATCATTACACAGATTATTGAAAAATATGTTTGGATAAGTATTCTATTTTTTATGGTTCAGAACAACATTTTAGAAGTTTTGTTCGAGTCCTCCGAGTATTATTTATTCTTATTAATTAATTAATGAACAAAATACTCTCGTACCCTAATCATTTGATTTTGAAAATCATTCAATTGTAACTTTAGTCAACCCAATCAAACCGTTATGATAGTACAATCAACCAAAAACCTTTCTTGGGTGGCATTTTTTGAAAGTCATTCAAAATGAAAAATAGTCACGAAAATCATAATGAACTATCCAGGTCCGTAGTCAAAAATTTGTTATTGTGAATGGCTCAGTGAATACGAAACGTTTAATTTCACAATTCACATCTAATGATATTAAAACAAAGAGAATGTGTGATTGATTTGCAATGAAATCTCAGAAATATTGTTTATATCCACAAAAATAACAGAAATATAAACAAACAATAGAATCGAATGTTTCAATTTTTATCTGAGTATCTCTAAAACCAATCCTGTTATTTTAGATTAGTTTGATTGATTATGTTTCTGAAATAGGGAGCTTTTACTCCATTTGTTTGACCTTAGAGCTCCTATACGAGTATCGTTTAAGATACACCAATACAATCGCATTGAAAAATGAGCACCCAGTATACGTTCTTCTTTCATCGATTCCAAAATTATAGACCGTGGATCTTTAACGCTGTTTTCGAATTGAATGAGCTACAACACTCATACAAAGATATTATACATTAGTCAACAACTTTTAGTTAAATTTTTATGGTTTTCCTGTGCTTATTAGCGTCAAATATTTCACTGAAATAAATTTGTTGCTTTCGTTCGATTTTGAAGTTGAAATTTTGAATTCAAAGTAGAAATTGAAAATAAAATAGGTATGATTTCAAAATAGTACATATCTTCTCTGCACAGTACAGATCAAATGTTGTAGATAGACTGCCATTATTGTTAATCTTCAGAAGTTATATTCATGAAGTAGTTAAGTTGTTTGCCTGTTATAGAAATTCCCGAGATAATAATATACATATGTACATATACATATGTACTTGATGTTGAATTATATTTAATAGATTTGATGAACATTAAATGAGATTATCATTTCTTCCATTTCCTCAAATGTATCGTTTGAACAAAATGCGCTCTATAGGGAGAACAAATTTTAAAATATTTATGCATGGCTACTACAAAATATTTCTTACTTATTTCTATAAAATATCATCAATATGATGGCGCCGGACCTTTTTATGATGCATTAAAACTTTTAAAATCGAGCTTCATCTTCATTTTTATATCAATAATGTGGGTGGGATTCCCATAAAGAAGACACACGAAGCACTCAAAGTCGTTTCACTACACATATAGGCAACAGAAGAAAAATAACGCAACGTTGCGATGTTCGAAAAAAATAATGCCGTTGTTTGAAAAGAAAGATGATTCTCTTCGAACGAGATTACCGTTTTTTGAAGAGATCTGTGTTATTCTATACACCGCTGTAGATATCTTCAGCATATTTGATTTTTTCAAGAAGAGTTGTAGGTAAGAAAAAGGGATTTTTATTTTGAGGTCAATGCCCAGACTCAGCTTTTGTTAGGCATGAATTGCTTTCGTTCGGCTTGTTATCTAGAATAATTTTTCTTTGAGGACAAATTAAATAAATCAAGAGCTTGTGAATCCAGTTCATTACCACTTCTGAATTGTTCTATATAACTTATTGGATTGACCTATAATGTGGTATTTATATTTGAAGATGAAATTAACAATGAAACTTCTTACGTGGTTGGTTATGGAAGTGGTTTATTTAGATTCAAGTCAAAATTAATATGAATAAGAATCCGGAGGCGTAGGAGTGCCAAAAATTTAAGAGAGAATTCACTGAAATTCAAGTCGACTGTACCAATAGATGAATATATCATATCTATCGATGAACTTATCACTGAAATTGAAAATTCGTCTTTTTGTCAACTGGTGATCATAAACATTATTATCATCAAATAAACTCATGGAAAAATCAGAAAATTCAAAGAATCTGCAATAATTTTTTTAGCAGGTTACAAGTGTAATTCAACTAGCTCTGTGGAAGTGAATCGTACGTGGTTCCCATTACTAAAAAGAGAGATTTGAAGCGGATATAGGAACTTTGGCCGAGTTCTTAGAAGGCATCCAGTATAAGAGTGTTCATGTATATTATCGTGTGTAACATTCACAATTTGAGATGAAAGTTTTATAGTGAATTTCAGGTTTACAAAACGGAAAAAGGTTGTTTTCCGAAACGTCGATCACTAAAGGGAGCTAAGTATAAATACTTAATTTTTTCAATAGGTTGTTTCAATTTGTAGGTAAAATGTATGGATACACGTTAATGATTAATTGGACTCTTCAGTGGTTTATATTACGCAGAAACTTTTCAGGGTGAACCTATCAGTTTGCCCTTTATTACAAGTAGGCAGTTTCTCTTTTGTTTCAGCTTTGTTTATTATTCAGATTCTGTAAGGTTATATACCTAAAAAAAACAATAAGAAATTTTCATGTATGTACTGAATTTTGTCTATTCTATTTCATTCTATTTGATAAACGTTAGACGTTCATACGACTGAGAAAGTAATAACCAATCTGATTACGGAACGAAACGTTTTGAAGTTATTTTAATCCAAAGTTTATTATCCCTTCAGTTTTGCAGCGCGATCTTGAGGCAATGAAGCCCTTAAATATTTTTGACAACTTGACAACTATTATAGACATTGTCAACTGACAAGTGTCAATGTTTTCTTGAAGGGACAAAAACAAACTTTTGAATAATCTTTTTACGGAAATTTAACACTTAAATGAAAAAGGAAACTGAAGGTTATCACCTGAAACATACTGTTTATCCCGGAAATGGAGCAAGTTAAGCTATTAGTGCAAGAACAAGGTCGTGAGGCAAGGAACTTACTGGCATTCAATATATCTGCAGAAAAAGAAACTTTCAGAAGTGAGATACGTTCGTACAGTAAATATATCTGCTTATACTAAATAACTTCGCTTTTAGCTAAGGTCTCTCGAAAGCCTCCCTGTCCTCCTAGGATTTTAGAATCTCCTCCAGCCACCAAAACTGCTTTAATTCGTGGAAGAACTGGGGCTCGAGTAAGATCGGCTTCTACTGGACGAGACAAGAGATCAGAATTGAGGGCTAGGTATTGGGCTCTTCTTTTTGGTAACTTGCAGAGATCTGTAAGTATTGTTACTGCCTGTTATCCGCATCCTTTCAATTTCTATATGATGTATTGATCTCAATATTTTCAGTTTGAGGTCTCTGTTTACTTTACAAATCAATTAAATTTGTTTGTAGATTGCTGAGATATATAATACTGTTGAAACACATGAAAGTCTCACAGAATGCCAAGAAGTTCTTTTAGTCCTTGAAAATTACCTGAGAGATTTTGGTGCTCTAGCAGACTGGTTTCGCCTTAAATGGGATTATGAAAATACTCCCGCCTTACAAAGACCTACCTCTGTCGCATGGGATATTTGCAAAACAAACCTGGCCAAATCTACTCGTTCTGGAAAATCAAGTCCCAATCTTGGTTCTGGTAGAAATAGCCCCAATGTGTCTGGAAAAATGAGCCCAAGAATTTTGCACTCAAAATCTAAACCGTCCAATTCATGCCCTACCAGTCCTCTACCTTGCATAGATCAACCAATATTTGAGGGAAAAACTTTGGAAACATCTCCACTGCTCAATGCACAAGAAGATTCAAATAGAGTTGGTGAGTTAGAACATGAGGTCATTGATGCTAATGCTGAAGTAATGCCTGAATTAAAAAATGAAGTGGATTCAAAGAATGGTAAAGGAGCATGTAAACAAATAAGTAATGAGATTTCAACTATGGCAATACCAAATACCAGTCCTATGAATCAGACTATTGTCTTTAATGAAGATATTCTTGAAAATATAAAAACTCAGATACCAGATAAAAAAACTGTTTGTGAACTGGCTGCAGAGGAATCTAAACAAACTGAGACTGTATTACCAAATAAAATCAACATGGAGAAGTTAGAAATCGATGCTCATTCATCAAAAACCGGTAATGAAGTGGATTCCAAATCTAAATTAATTGAAAACAGTGCCAGTACTTCTAAATCATCAAAAAAATTTGAATCTCACAAGAAGAAAGTTGATGATCCAAAAAGTACTGATCATAAATCTAAGATGTTACCAAAATCAAGTTTTAAACTCAGTATTAAATCTGATAAAACTTCTCAGCCAAAAGTTAAGCCTGTTGAAACATCCAAATCAAATGTGAATGTTAAGAAAATTAGTACCGACAAACTGAATATGAAGGAAGACGTGTCATCAACCAATATTACATCATTAGATAACAAACAACCTGCCAATGTTAATACAATAAATACTGAAATGAATACTGAACCAGGTACAGTCAAACAAAGCCTACAACTCGATTTGGAAACTAAAAACACACCGGTAGTAACTCCCACACTAAAGAATATTGATTCACCCAGTGAGGATCAGAGAACTTATGATGTGTTGAGAAAACTAGGAGTACAGAGTGCAGAGAAAAGTACATGCACAGATGATGACTTTCCAAAATTACCGGTTAGAAGGTCCAATATAGTTAAAGTGAATCAGGAATGTCAGACTGAGGAAAACGAGAAAAGAGCTACAGCGGTTTTACCTAAAAATACCATGAAAGTAGACATTAAAACCAGCAGGCCTGTTACAATGGCACGTCCTGCATATGCCACTGCTTTAACAAAAAGTTCCTCAGCTAAGATTGTTACTCCAAGACCGAAAGTAGAATTGAAGCCAGCATCAATAACAAATCGAAATAGTGCTAATATTAAACCCATTAAAACCTTTTCAAGCAGGAATCCTTCTACAGGTAGAAATGTTCCCGAGAAAAATATCCTTGCTAGAAGTAAAACAGTCAGTGACATGAAGAGTACAGCTCCTATGAGTACTTTCAGCTCTCGTAATAGAATGTTACCAAAAACAAAGTCCATCCAACATACACCAAATCTGAAATCTCCAATGTTAACAAAGAGTAAGACTACTGTAACTAAAGAACATTTAACAAAGTCCTTATCCCTAAACGAATATGCGAGCTCCGTGGAGACTTTAGTCAATCAAGATAGGTCAGCAAATGTAACAAATTCTAGTAATAGCATTGCTAGTTCATCAGAGACACTGAACAATGATAATGTTAGAAGTGAACCTGCTGATGGTTGGTTGACAGTTAAGTGCAGGTCGAGGTTCAAAAACAATAGCAAGCCCAGGAGATCTGATACTGCTTTATCTTGGGCAACTAGATTTCATCAGGTCAGTATTTCTTACCATACTGTAATAATTATAAATATCGTCATTTATTACAATTCATTTTTTTAAAGAATGTATTTGTTTAGTTTTTTCAAATTCTTTAAATATGTGTTGATATCTCAAACATCAAACTGGTAATATCTCGAAAACGATGTGGTTGAATTTTTTGAAAATCACAGGGATTGTTATTCATGTGTATATGAAATAATTCCCAAAGTTTAATAGAAATAGAAAGTTAATCATTTTTAAGAATGAACTTCCTTAAGTTTCTGTACTTATAGTTTTTAATTAAAAAAAGGCATTAATTTCATTTTGAAATTTATAGGTTAGTGCTACAGCCAGTTTACCAGCTCTAGCACTTCTACCTGAGACCTCTATTGACTCTACCAAACCCCCAAAATCTATTGAAAAAAGTGTTAAAGAGAATTTGAACAACTTGAAGTCATTGAAAAATGTCTCAGACCATAAGGTCGTACTACGAAGGTCCAACACGACCATGTCTAAAATCACTGTTAACAAGAACTCCATCCAAGAAAAAAACAAAACTAACCTTCAAATCAAGCGGTCCTCAGACCGCGAGAGGTTTCAAGAGGATATAAAAAAAATGTCAGATGTTGATTCTGAAACGGACGATGAAATGAAACTGAAAGACATGCAGGATGAAATGGCTACCGAAGCAGAGCACAGGATGAAAGCAAAACAACTATCGGAGGAAGAAGACAGACTTACTAAGGAGATTGAGCATTTGCAAGGGTTGGAGATTGAAATAGATACAGAAACTGATGGTACAGAAACTGATGGAGATGAGCTGCAGGGGGATAATGATGAAGATGGAGATGGCACAATAACGAATGTCGATGATGATGAGATGTCATTAGAGGCGAGATATGAACCAATGCTGGCAGGTTTGTGCTTTTGTCGTTCACAGTTTTTTATATGTTGCAATAATTTCAATAATAATGATTATAGGAAAGTGGTTAAAGTTGTTTGCACTGAATATTTCAAAAATGAATATGTTTTGCCCTTTGCTTACACAAAAGTCCTTGAGATCTGTATATACATTTAAAATTGACAAACACTTGCAATACTTATTGTTTATTCCCAGAAAGATACTACAAAAAGGACACTTTATAAAAAAGCTAGAAGTAAAAATACATTTGTGGTGGTTGAATGAGGTGTATTTAGGGTGACAAACAAGTGTAAGCATTAGAGCAATATAACCCGTGATTCTCAATATCAGTCATTCTGGCCGAACATTTATGGGCATTTATGAAAGGGTTCATTTTGTAGAGATGTCATGGAGTGAAAGAATTGATACTTTAGCTGCCTTAGAAGCCCTGAATGCTAGACATCCAGGTAGAGCTTTGAAGCTCCACCAGAAACTATCCAATCCAGCTAGAAAAAGTAGCCTTACAGAAACTGTCAGGAAGTATCAAGCCAAACAGGCAAGAGCACAGCAAAGACGACAAGATCTACAGTATGAAAAAACTCAAAAGCTGCAGACATTACTTGCCAGAGTGGAAGATGTTAAGGCTGCTAAGTTGCAATTGATCGAAGAAAAGCGAAAGAGAATGGAATTGAGGTAAATATATATATACACACACACACTTGCTATTTAAAATGCCGGCATCGACAACGTTTTTAAATATGTTTTAATTGACTGATCGCGTGTTGTTGCACAGCTGTGGTGGAATCAAGTTACGGATCGGTCCAACCTTGTAAATTATGCGGTGGCATGTTTGGCAAATCCAATGAGTTCAAAAACTCTGTTGGATAATTCACAGCTTTGGTGGCATCGCAAACTGAATCTACTCTCTATGTATAAACAATAATAGTGGCCAAAAACTGTGTCGAGAGTGAGAGAAGACTCATTGTGTGAGAAACACTGGCTTCCTTTTCTTTCCTACTCCGAGCTCTTTCCTACTCCGACACACGGCGGGAATTGATCAGGGTTAAAAATGATTTCATTTTCATTACTAAAATGGCTATCAAAAATAGGAGTTGATGATATAGCGTAAAAATTGAGTGTTTTATGTATTTTTTAATGCCACGTCATGAAACAATAAGAACAAAAAGTTCTGTCCAAAAAATTTAAAAAAAATTGGGGTGGAGCACCCTTATCACTTAGGGTTATGTGAAATAGATTGAAACCTATTCTCAGACCTACCGAATATGCATAAAAAATTTCATGAAAATCGGTGTGGCAATTAACACTGTGACACGAGAATTTCATATAAACGATGAGCAGCCAAAATCTGTCGCATATTTCTGATATGTACTGCTCTTGGTAGAATCAAATGTGCCAAGTTACTTGAACAGTTCCAGTGAAAGTATCTATAGTAGAGAGACAAATCCCCAATTTTTCTTCGATGTTTCAGACTGTCAAGGTGACAAGTGATGTTCGCGTCTCCAATCAGGCGGATGGCTCTTTTCTGGATGGAATCCAGCAGCTTCAGGGTATGCTTAGGGACGGAACTCCATACATAAGAACAATACTCCGAAGAAAGTCTAATCTGAGATTTATAAAGCATCAAAAGTTGCCGAGGTGTGTACAGTTTCTGGATCGGTGAATTGTCTGTCTTGAAATTATTATATCCGGTTCGGAGATATTTATCTTTTTGGAGAAAACCGACGCCTGGATTTTTGTAGCATTGAATTGAACCTGTTACTTTTACCCCAATTCTTCTAGATCCTCATTAAGATATGCAACCTCCTGATGCTGGTGAAGATGTGCATCTGCAGTCGATGTCTTGGAATCCAAAATGAGACAAGTGTGCTGTCGTCTCGAAAGTGCTAAGAGTGCTATATTACCATCTACGTTACTCTTACGGTATTGACGAGACACCGTTGTTGCCCTACGCTCCGGGGGATATTGAATCCGTTGTGGGTAACGAGAAGTACCGAATTTATTGGAATTAAACATTTCCATACCTGTTTTTACTACTTTAAGATATGTTTCACGGCCTATTAATAAATTAGTGTCATCAGCAAAGACTTTAATTGAATTATGTGTGTTTGAATGATAACATAAATCGTTTATGTAGATAATAAATAACAAGGGACCCGCAATGCTTCCTTGTTGTATTCCTACTTTCACTGTATGTTCGACCATGTTTGTTAATAGTTACTATTTGTTGGCAATATGTTAGGTAAGATTCAATCCATTTCAGTGAGTTTCCTCTTATACCATATAGTTCTAATTTTTTTATAAGTATCTCGTGATTCAAGCAGTCAAGTGCCTTTGCCAGATCTAAGAACATACCAAGCGTTAAATATTTTCTTTCCATTAAGTTTGTTATATTATGAGTAAATTGAAATATTGCACTGTTTGTTAATCTCTCTCGTAAGTATCCGTGTTGGTTATTGCTAATTATATTACATTTATATAGAAAATTTTNATTTTGTATTTTTCATCTTTTTCGGATAATATTTTCATGAGCAACTCATTTTCTTTTTTCAACCATTCTTATGCTTGTTACTCTCATGGGTTTCAGTAAGCTTTTCATCTATTACAATATAGTCTTTTATCTTTGACTTGCCTGAAATTTCAGCTTCACAACAACAATTCGTGTTTCATCTATTATTTGAACTTTTTTTCTCTCTAGACAACTTATATGGTATGCTTTTCCACATATGCTACAGCATTCGAACATTTTATCTACTTTTTATCTGGGAACTCTTTACTACCACTTGCACTATCCACCATCTTGGATATATGGATTCTTCGTTTTTGGAGACAATATGGATCCCTGGGGAACACCAGCGTTGATGGTGACAGTATTAGAGAGATATCCATCGACAGCCACTTTCAGGGAACGTTCTTTCAGAAAGCTTGAAAGCCATTCACAAAAATGATCTGACAAGCCATAGCATTGAAGTTTGGCCAGAAAACCCTCATGCCACACTTGGTCAAAGGCCTTAGAAGTATCAAGCGCGACAGCTCTTGACTCTCCATGTTTCTCGATTGCGTTATTCCAAATATGGGTGACATACGATAGAAGGTCCCCTGTTGATCTTTGTTCTCGAAAGTCATATTGTAATCGCTCAAGATGTTAAAGCCTTCCAAATATTTAAGGATATTTAAGGATATGGTGGTTTACGGTTTTCTCCATGATTTTTGATATCACTGATATAGTTATTTGTAAGATTTTTCTTGCCCTTTTTGGGAACAGGCTGAACGCGAGCTATCTTCCAACAGTATCGACTACTAAGGTCATTACTTAGTAAACACAAAACTGTCTCATGTTTTTGATCACAGCAGTGAATCACAATTTGACTCGCATTGATAACTCTTAAACTACTATTCCGGACCCCGGTGACTGACTTCAGGGATCACATTGTGATGTGGACAGATTGTGATTTACTTTTTGTATATGAAAATCAAATGTACAGTGAAATATGACACTGAATGAAAGTCACAATAATCAAAATGTAATTCACGTTGATCATGTAAACTTTCACAGCCGGAGATAACTGGGTAAAAGTCATTTTCCGGGTTTTTTGCCAGTGGTCTGCAGGTTTTTATGTCAGACTATGTCTGATACTAAGTCTCAGGTCAGTTAAGGACCCCCAGAGAACCTTCAGCAAGTGATATGTTTTTTATTTGTTACTTCTACTTTTGGAAATCGCCAATCAGCAACACTGGATTCCTTGTAGCTGCGGGTCGGTCTATATTGGAGCCACGAAAAGAAGTGTAGGTACCTGTCCCTCTGAACACCAGAGAAATTGTTGCCTAGGACGAACCGACAAATCAGCTGTAGCTGAACATGCTCTCAACAAAGAAGGCTATCTCATTCGAAGATACAGTATTACACGACAAAACTCAAAATTACCATCCAAGCGTATACAGGGTGTTTCAAATTCGATCCTCACCATTGGGATCTTGGAAAGATCCCAATGGTGAGGATGTGAGGATAGAAGATGGTTAAATTGGGGCAAAGTTGCGCATTTAACTGACTAACAATATGCCGTTGAGAAAGTTCTGAAATTCCGAGTGTATCCGGGAATATCCGGGAAAAACAGAAATTTTGGAAAAAAAATTTTTTATCTGGCTTTATTTTTGGAAGGTTTTGAAAATAAGTTGCACTTCCACATTGCCACTTTTTCCCTGCTACATAATGGAGTTTTCAGATTTGCTATCCGACGTTTCGTCTTCCGGTTAATATCATCAACTTTATTTTTTCTTATGGGCGCTACATTGGATTCTTTCTGTTTTGAATAAAACCAGATTTTACCTTTTCAATGACGTATCATAAGCTATATTCTTTTTCGAAAAATTGAAGATATTGAAAAAAATAATTCTTATCATAATAGGCTTTGGTTTTTATGTTTCTAAATTTGACTTTCAATTTGTTACACTCAATGACATTTTGTTATTGTACAAGTCATTGCATTTTTGGCGAAAAATGGCTTTCACGAATAAAGAAAAAAGAGATATGATACAAATTTATTACAAATACGATAGAAACAGTGTTAAGACATCGGAAATGTATTTAAACTTATATCCCGACAGACGACGACCACATCAAAATCTCACCGAGTTTGGTTCGTTTGAAAAGCCAATGAAAAAATACGGAGACAGAATCAACAATCAAAATTTGATAAATGAGGTGTGTATGAGGTAAATCAGACATTGTGTCCTTTTCAATGAAAATAGAACTTTGAACAAATAACAATTAACTAAAATGTAAAGACAAAAGTAAATTACAGCAAATTCTCAAAATGCTGGCCTTGTTCATGATAACACAACTGTGCCCTTCTTCGAATATTATTCACTGCACGATTAATTTCCCTCCTCAATCTTCCGAACTCTCTAACAATGCTGTGTTGAAGGTCCTCAATATTTTGATATTCCCTCTGACCATAAACTTCATTTTTCAGTGTACCCCATAAGAATGTATTCATAACACTCAAGTCTGGAGACCTTGCTGGCCACCTCACCGGCCCATTATTCCCTATCCATTTATCACCAAATCTTTCAGTCAGGTAATTAGATACTCGTCTGGTAGTGTGCGGTGGAGCACCATCATGTTGAAACCAGATGCTGTTATAGTTAGCCAAAGGTAGATCATCCAAATAGTCTTCGAAAATTGACATTGAAAACTGGTGATAGGTTTCTCCATTCAGAATTCCGTCAAATAAATGAGGACCCAAAATTCTATGTTTGTAAATTCCTGCCCGTACGTTAATACTAAATCGCACTCGAGGTCGAATTTCTCGAAACTCTCTGGGGTTTTTTATGCTCCAAATGTGTTCGTTATTTCGGATGAATATCCCACAATTCGTAAAAGTGCTCTCATCTGTTCAAATTACATTTTTAAGGAAAACAGGAAAATCAGGTATTGTTATTAGCCAATTACAAAATTCTAATCGCCTTTTGGGATCACCTGGACGCAATTTTTGAGATATATGTTTTTGTAACATTTTAAACCGTTTTTTTTGAGATGTCTCCAAGCACTGGTATGACCAATATTCATTTCGGAGGAAATTTGACGTAGATTTACCCGGTTTCATCTTTATTTGCAAATTATTAATTTTTATTGAAAAGGACACAATGTTCAACTTACTTCATACATACCTCATTTATTAAATTTTCTTTAGTTTCCTGGTCTACTCTGTCTCCGTATTTTTCTCGGCTTTTCAAATGAACCAAACTCGGCGAGATTTTGATCCAATAACATGAACATAGTTCGATGTGGTTGTCGTCTTTCGGGATACAAGTTTAAATACATTTCCGATGTCCTAACACTGTTTCTATCGTATTTGTAATAAATTGACTTTCAATTTGTTACACTCGATGACATTTTGTTATTGAACAAGTCATTGATTTTTTGGCGAAAAATGGCTTTCGCGAATGAAGAAAAAAGAGATATGATACATACCATGACGGCAAATTAATAGCTCTAAAAAACTTTTTGTTACTGTTCGAAATGAAGGTTTCGTAGCCTGTAGTTTTATGATGGACATGCGCATATTTTATTTTCCCAAGAGAAACTGAAATATCTCTTGAACGGTTGATTTTTGATACAGAGAATGTATCATGAAAATGATTCAAAATCATTTCGAAATTTCAAAACTATCCCCTTTCTGTTTCATTTGAAAGAAATTGAGTTTTGAGTTTGAGTTTTTTAATCTTCAGAATTACTCATCGATTCTGAACAGTTTGCATATAATTTTGGAAATGTAAGTTCTACAAGACAATGGAAAATTTTTTGATCAATCAATAATAGTACTTTATGTATTCTATCATACTTTTGAAATTTATGGGGGAATCACTCAAGAGCCAAATACCTAGTTCTTTTTTGAGTAAACAAATGACTATCTCGAGAACGGTTCTTTTTTTGTATAAGGTGTTTTGCATAAACTCGCATCTGAATTATGACAAGTATTCAGAAATGTGAAAATATACAGGATGTTACATGTGAACTAAGGAAGTTGGTACCAACTTCTTATATAACCGGAAATGTTGAAAAAAACGCAATTATATTCATTCGATGAAGCATATTAAAAAACCAGTATTTGCCAATTTTCAGGACATGAATTCTTTTATTTCACAAAATACGTCTAATTGACGATCATCACGCTGTACCATGTAAATATATTGAACAAGCTACTAGCTATAATGTAAATTTCCACCAAACTCTAAATATTTTTGTTCCGTTATTATTAAGTTTTATTACTTTTTATTCTACATTCATAAACTGTTGTCAGTAAATTTGGATTACCACTATTCTTGGATTATTCCAGTAAAAATTTGACAAATCTCTTTTCATTGGTAAGTAATGAAAGATGAATTTGAAGTTTCTTTTCTCAGGCACGACTTCTTGCAGTCCTGTAAAGAACAGAGGGGTCGCATACAGGGTATTCAAGAGGACAGAAGGAAGAGGCAGGAAGAGAAGGCAGCTAAGGAAGCTGCCGTAGAAGAAAGAAGGAAAGCTTTAGAGAAAGAGAGACTGGAGAGGTTGGACAGGCTCCAGGATGAGCGACGCCAGAGAGACAAAAGAATAGGACAGCAGCAACAACAGAGGGAACGTGAGAGACAAGAGTTGGCTAGGGAAAAGGCTAGAGACAGAGAGGTACATTTTCTAAAAAAATTAATGTAGATTTAATTTCTGAAAAGAACAATTATAATTTACAATTACCTCACGTAACTTACGAAATGGTAATTATTTGCACCTAATAATATTCAGGCCACTGGGAGTAAGTATATGTTATTCGTTTAAAGCAGAGGTTCTCAAACCTATTTTGTCTACCGCCCATTTCGAGAATTAATTATTTTCTAGCGCCCCCCAAATTTCTTTACTTTACTACATCTTAAGAATCACAGTCACAGTCATTATTTAAATAATTAAATCATGTGTGTCATGTGAAAATAAGACTTTCTGATGAGAGTAATGTAAAACATCATTTTGTAATATTAGGAAAACTTTTATTCATGTTATTAAAACAAACATTTCAATCTGAATTTTAAAACTAATCTAATGTGGCTGAGTGTTTCTTTTCCAGTTCTTGAAAATAAGTCACACTTTTGTCTTTTTTATCTGAATGCATTTCATCAAATGATCTTGTAGCCTTGAGGGTTTCATCGCTTCATTCGAAAATGTTTTTTTGGCAAAGAAGGCACATAGGCGAAGATGGATTTGTGGAATTTTCAATAAATCCATATTTTATATATTCCGCGCTATACTGCCTTTTCTTCTTTTTTGTTTCCGACATAATGTTGTCTTAAAAAATGCCGAAGTAAAGAATCGAGTATTAAAAACTCTCTATTGACACCACTCACAGTATTCACCACCGCACGTACAGCACTTTACCTAGCTAGTCGCTAACTAAATTCACTTGTTTTCGTAATATCGTCGAATGGCATTACTGGCTGAATGGCGCGCGCGCTTTTATATGAGGCAGCGGGCGGGCCTAGTACTTTCGAGAATGGAGACTAGAAACTTCTCGCTTCGCATTGAAGCTTACCGCCATCTATTGTACAGTTTGACAACTATCGAACAGGAAATAGTTACTGTCTAGACCCTAGATGGCTTTACACGAGGAAACGCGCGTTAAGCGTACAGAAGCGGTGAAGTTTGTGTTGAAAGCAAAAACATATTTTTAAATTAGCCATCGCCCCTTTAAATTGCTTCAACGCCCCCAATCTTCTCTGTGCCCTTTACTGCCCCCTATAGGCCTCAGCGCTCACAAGGGGGCGTTTTTACCCACTTTGAGAAAGACTAGTTTAAAGAACAATAAATAATTCTAAATACCTATATATTCAAAGCGGTTTATCTAGTCAAATTCAAATGAAGTGGTGGTAATATTTCTTCAACGGCATTGAAACCTAACTTCTCAATGCATTTGGCACAATAAACTAATGGTGCCATCTGAAATTTGATCACTGTAAAAATAATGCTTTCTCGATTTTCAGTCAATTCAGGTATCATCTTCATTTATCTCTCAAAGTTGGAGTGATTTATTTTGTTGCATTATTGGAAATGCCATTCACATATGTAGAAATTCAGTAATTTTTTTGATAAATAGGGATAATAGTAATTCCCTGAAAAATTGACATGTTTATTTAAAAAAATATTGTTTAGAAAACAGTCCTATTAAATTGAGAGTCAAGAAAAGTAACAAAAAAATAAAAAATTAATGACTTCAGCCCTACTTACTTCAATAAATAAGAAATGAACTGCACAAGATTTCTTCTGTCTGTTAGATCCGAATTTGAATCACTTCTACGGGTAACAGATATAGTGATGTAATGAAGAATTCAGTTTATTTCTCAAGTAAGAAATAAGTTGATGTTGAAAATGTGAAGATTTGCATTTTTGTTTTAATTTTCAGTTGAACAACATTCAAGTATATAATTAGATTTTCACTTGCAAATAAAGCTGTTATTGCATGATCAAATGTATGTTTTAGGAACGGTTGTCTGCCCTTCACGAAAAGCAACTAGCATCAACGCAGGAGCTTCAGAAACGAATCGAACAGAAACAAGAAGATTCTAAAAGGAGGCACGATGAGAATATGGAACAGATCAGACAGAGAGCATTAGAATTGTCTATTCATCGATGCCAGAACGATGATAATCAAGCTCCAAATATGGTCCCATATCCAACCCAAAAGCTGTGCACTGTTTGTAATGTATTGGTAAGTGATATGTAACCAATTTTGTACCAAATTGAACAAAATTCTGATTTAGATTCAATAAACTGCATTTATTTATTTATTTATTTATTTAAGTATTTATTTATTTATTTACGGACTTGCCATTATGCAATGAACACATAAATAGTGTGATTGAAAAAATAAACAATTGAATAATAATATAGAATACAAAAAAAAAACAAAAACAAATATCAATTAATTAATAATAATAATCAGCAGTTTCTTCATAGTACGTCAATACGTTTAATCTGATTTTCAAAAGAGTACAAGGATGAGTCAAACAAATCTTATCAAATCAATCAAATTCTTATTTGCTAACCTAAGTATTCTAGTGATCGTTTCATTCAAGCCATAGCTAGTAGAATGGTAAGGAACTTTAAACAACTCCGAAACGCTGGTTCTTCTTGAATTTACATTGAAGTTAATCATTTGTATTACAAATGGACAGTTCATATCACCATTTATAACTTTATGAAGATGTCTTAGATCAATTTCACCTCGGCGGTGCTACAAAGTAGATAAATTCAGTAAAAGCAGAATGTCTGAGCACTCATAGTCGGACCTCAGATATCCGAGCTTGAATGCACATGATCTCAGAAATTTGTTTTGTCCTTTCTCAATCACAGATATACTTGTCTCATATAGAGGACTCCATATCACGCAATTATTTTCCAAGACCGAGCGTACCAAAGAACTGTACAATATTTTAAAGGTATTTATAGAAAATTTATCTGTGGATCGTTGAACAAATCCCAATAATTTGAGTGATTGTGATCAATATGACCTTCAAAGGTTACTTTGCTATCAAACAACACTCCCAAGTCCGGAACGCTGTTAGTCAACGTTAGAATAACGTTTTTGATTTTATATAGATATACAATAGGTTTCACAGCTCTTGAAAATGTTATTTGATAAATTTATTTGTATTCAAATGAAGCCTGTTTTCATCACACCAACGAGTTATCTACAACTCTGTAAAGTTTGAGATCATCTGAAAACATCGCATAATAGCTGTGGCGTATGACATCCGACACATTATTTACAAAAAGAATGAAGAGTATTGGGCCTATATGCGATCCTTGAGGGACACCAGACGTTACAAGAATTTGTGATGATATGGAACCAGCATATTCAACATACTGACGAATGTGTTTTAAAATCAACTAATAATAATAATAATAATAATGATATTTATTAACTTCTCTCGTTAAAAAGTATAAAATTTCTTTCACAAAATAGTACACAGTAACAAGGAAGACGTCCATAGTGTGTAAAACACAATAAACATAATACAATACAAATTAAAAAAATGGAGTGTAAAACATATTAAATATAAAACAATACAAATTTAAAAACATTTACCGTCTAACATACAAATGGGGTGTAAAACATAATAAATATATTACAATACAAATTTATAACATAGATAGTCAACATACATATGAGAGGGTAAATTGTTTACTAATAGCTGCCCGTCTAGAGTGAAGAATTATTGATTTGCAAAAAATTCATTGATGGTGTAGTAGTTTTTTTTGATAATGCAAGAAATCATGTATAATGAGAATCTTTATTGAACTTTTCCAAAAAATCATCGCAACTGATTGTTTCAGATCAAATCAGAGGTGTACCTCATGAGTCATTTGCGGGGTCGTATGCACCAGGAAGCTGTAAAACAGGCAAATCTCACCCCGAGTGATGTCGAACAGTACAACCTGACTCAAATCGTAGAAGCACCTGCTGGCAAGGAAGATCCTAAAATCACTGCTGCTAAAGAACGTGGCAAAACTCATAGAAAACGTTGCAAGAAAATCAGACAACGTATGGCAACAAGAGCGGCTGAATATGAAACAGGTGAAAATAGAAATTAATGATTTCACATGTATCAGAGATAACTAATGTATTTTTTTTGTTGAACCTGTAGAGAAAAGATGATACCAATATCATGAATCTAGTGGTACTCTGTTGAAATAATATATATCGAAGCTACTCAAATACTTCATATGATTTCAATTATGATAGAATTTAGCCCCCTCTGCCAAGGGACAAAGCTCAATATATGCGAGCTATATAAAGCATTATAGTTTGCTGAGATGTGTAAAATTTTCTAGTTCGAAGTAGTGTTTGAAATTTTGAGAAGCTGACTTTGCTATTTCAAAAACGTGATTTTGCCAAGACATATTGGTGTCTGATTCGATACCCAATAAAGTATTGGACAAAGCTATCAAAAATCTGTGGCCCTTACATTATGAAGACGAATTCTGTCAGATTCAATTTTTTAGAAAAAGCTTACGCCTGGTTTTTCATGGCATTAAATTCTACTTGGTTTTTGTCTCCCAAAAGCCAAAATTTCAGATCATCATTAATAAATGGAATTTTTTATTGTCGCGGAAGATGTGCGTTAGCAACTGATGTTCAGGTATCCGAATGGAAAGAAGAGAAAAACGTGCTGCCATCAGTAAAGCAAAATATTGGCTTTAGGGTCTTTTTGAATAGAACGTTGATGTTAACATTCCTTGAATTTTGTCATTTTTCCTTTGCAACTGAAGCTTTCAGTTATACGACCATTACACAAAAAAGGGGATACAAATTGTATTGAAAATACAGACCCTTAAGCTTACTCCCATTATAATGTTCAAAGTTTAAATCAATTCACAGAGACTTGTATTCATACATTTCGCCTGAAAATTAAAAACTAATATTTTGACTTAAGTGACTTTACCAAATTGCAATCCTAGGAAACTAGATTGTCTCGAGATGCAAGCAAATTTGAAGAACAAATATTCAAGCGGAGAAGATGAAATTCCAACTTGTTTGATAGGAAAATGCACAATAATAATTAAAGATATTTTAACACACATAATTAACAATTCCTTGAATTTTGGCATTTTTCCTTTGCAACTCAAGTTTTCAGTTATACAACCATTACACAAAAAAATGGATACAAATTGTATTGAAAATTACAGACCCATAAGCTTACTCCCAAATTTCTCTAAATTTTTCGAAATCGCAATGTGTAATGAAGTTATACAGTTTTTTCATGAGTGTAATATCTTCAGTGATAATCAACATGGCTACTTACAAAAAAAAATCAACACAAACGGCAACGTTCCAATATACGCAGAACATAATTGATCTGATGGAAAAACGGCATCTAGCTCTGGGTATGTTTCTTGACTTGTCAAAAGCATACGACTGTCTAGATCATAATATCTTGTTAATCAAATTAGAGAAATATGGAATAAGAGGAAATGCTCTGAAATGGTTTCCCTCATATTTAGCAAACAGACAACATAGAGTCAGTATCACTAAAGACTCAAAAAACTTCAAATCTGATATAACAATATCTATAGATATACCGCAAGGAAGTGTAGCGGGCCCACTGTTGTTCGTTATATTTATGAATGATTTATGCAAATCTGAATTAGCAGAGAATCAATTTATAACTATATATGCTGATGATACAAACCTTTTGGCAGGGGGAGAAACATATCCGGAGATGATGGTAAACTGTTTTAACATTTTTCAGAAAACAAAAAACTGGTTGAAAACAAATGAGTTAGTATTGAACGAGTCGAAAACTAAAGTGATGCTATTCGCAAACTATCTAACAGCAGAGGAAAAACCAAATGATATATCTTTTTTTCAATAATTCCTTTCAGTTTTCCCATGACACCAAGTTTTTGGGTGTTTACATTGATGAATGGCTGAGCTGGAAATCTCTTTGAAGCTTGGAAAAGAGTCCTATGGACTGAGAATAATCAGTAAACATCTAGAAAAGCAAGCAGCTTTATCTCTGTACTTCCCCAAGAATACAAATAGAATATTTGTTATACAAAAAAGAGTAATTAGAATAATCAATTACAAACATTATAAGGACTCTTGTCGAACAGTTTTTGAGAATAATAACATCATAACTGTATATGCTCTGTATATTTTTGAATGTTTGATATATTTGTTTAAAAATAGAGAACTTTTCAATCTAAATGCTACAGAACATGAATATAACATTAGGAGGCATGACCTCATTTATCCATATCATACATCGAGACTTACTGAAAAATCTCCCTATTATATGGCAATGAAATTTTACTAGTTACTAGTACTTGTTAGGCATTCTGCTAGTAGCAATCAATTTAAAAAAAAACATCAAAAAGATACCTGTAGATCTAGAATCCTATTGTGTTGAGGATTTTTTAAAACATCAGTTTTGAAATATAATTGTGTGTGACGTCATTTTATTACATGTAATTATTTTTTATACAAATAATTGTGGCGTTTTCTAAAATAAACATTATTATCATTATTATTATTAAACAGAAAAAAGTTGGAGACAATACGAATTTATGGTTTGATGGTATGAGTATCCAAGAGAGTAACATTTTTTTAAGGACAAAACAAAAACACTATAGAAAAATCCTTAAGGCGCTCTAAGAACGGTGCCTGTGCGAAAGTAGCGATTCACATTGTGAATCGCTGGATATTAAATCCATTTGGAAAAACGTTCTCAGGAAGTTTATTCCACAAAAATGTAGTTCTCCAAATGAAAGAGTTCATAAAGAGTGAAGTTCGAGGTGTATTGAGTTGAACCTCAAAACTATGAGCAGCCACAATCCGTCGCTTATTTCTGATATGGTGAAATTAAATGTGCTGAGTCACTTGAACACCTCCCGTAGAAGAGAGACAAATCCCCAATCTTTATTCGATGTTCCAGACTATCAAGGTTGCACCTGATATTCCTTTCTCCACTCAGGCGGATGGCTCTTTTCTGGACAGGATCCAGCAGCTTCAGGGTATGCTTAGGGACATGAACAAAGATGATCTGACAAGCTATAATATCCAGTGAACCCTCATGCCTGACACTGTCAAAGGTTTTGTTGATGTTCAGCTATTTCAATATTCATTCAGTAATTGAAATTAAAATATTTCTGTGTACCATAGAGTCCGAGATTTTTCACTGTTTATATGAATTGCATATTACTTGGGTTTGAATATTTTACTACAGCTGGAAAAAGTATAAATATTTTCCTTCATTAAACTACTTTGAATAAATTCGTAGTAGGGGTGCTTAGTTTGGACCCTGTTTCTTAAAGTTAGGAGAGAACGATTTTAATTTTTTTTATAATAGTGAAAACTTAAGGTGTGGAGTTTTTTACTCCTCAAAAGGCAGTAGGAGCCAATTATGAAAATTTTGAAGAACCCAAAATGATATCAATGATGAACCATAGAATGTTTCATTCAGGAATATTTTCAAGTGAAACATTTTCAGGAAAAATTATTAAAGGAAAAATTAGTCAAGAAATAAGAGCATCTTTGGTTTCGATTAGGGTGTTCAATTTGGAAAAACTGAGTTTTCGCCCATTTTTATATCATCAGAATTAGGCATCGATTCCAAACATCTTGTATAACATTTTGGAAATGTTACTTCTACAAGACGAAGGAATGAAGTATTTTGATCAATCAATAATAGCTCAATTATGTATTCTATCAAACTTTTGACTTTTATGGGGCAATCACTCGAGAGCCGAATACCTAGTTTTTTGAGTAAACAAATGAATATCTCGAGAACAGTTCATTTTTGGTATACACCATATTTCATAAACTCACAATAGAAGTATGTCAGACATTGAAAGATGTGAAAATATATAGGGTGTTACGTTTGAATTAAGGAAGTTGATGCCATTTTCCGGTATAACCGCAAGTGTTGGAAAAATGTCATTATTTTCATTCGATAAAGCATATTGAAAAATCCATTTTTAGCAATTTTCAGGATATATGAATCCTATTATTCCCCAAAATATAGACCAAACAGCAGAGTACTAAGGACTCGTTAATTTCAATGAGGCTCTTAGATGAAGGTTTCATACATGCAGTCGAGCCGCGTTGAAATTAATGGAGTCCCAAGCACAGACAATAGAATTGTATTATCTGTGAAATTTTTGGCTTTGACCTATCAGGGATAACAAAGAATAAAGAAGATTATAAATGAGTACTCTACAAAGTGATATGTGATTCAATATTGATATTGAACAACCAATTATACTATCCAGTTTTCACGTTGCAAAACTATTCAGAGAAATAACCTCAAATTATCAAAGTTGATGGAGTTATGTTGTTATACACAATAATTACTGTTACATTTATAAACAATTCTGTCATTTGAAATTACAGGTTATAAACCCGACGTGTTGGACGGCACAAACAAGAGAAGTCTCAATAGGAGTATCAACACCATTGGCTCTATAACCAGTCAGGCGAGTCAGGGTTTGTCTCCTGCCAGTTCGAGCCAGCTTGATAGGATATTGAATGAACTGACCCGACTGCTAAGCAAGGGCATCAAAAATGATCTGTTAGTTTTCCAGAGTGTAGGAGGATTTGCCGTTTTGGGAAAATTGCTTGCTTTGGGGCAAGATGGAAATACATCAATCTCTACCAAGTTAGTGAGAGTTTTCTAAAATTCATCAATATCAAAGTACATATATGGTCCTTCCTACATTTATATATATTTCTTTCATTACAGAACCCTGATTATATGCTGCAATTTATGGCAAACAGCTTGTAAAGGGGTAGACGGTATGAATAATTGTGAATATGTTATTCTCTCAAATCGGTTGGTACCAGTTATTGATCTTCTAAATACCCGATTGTTGGTGAGTACATCGTTATCAGTATTAATAAAAAGAAGTATCATTGAACATCAAAAATGTTCATTAAAATTATTCGGGTATGTGCATTATAATTGAAAATATCAAGTTTACTTGAAGGCAAAGAAGCTAAGACATGTTTGAGTGGGAAACCAAAACGGAGATCAGAATTATTAGGTTGTTTCAAAAGTTTTGTCCGTTCTTATGAGTCTACTTTTAAATGTAATATCTCAGTGAATACCAATTCAATTCAATCAAAATAAGCGTCATTTGAAACATTATACTTTTGTCAAAGTAACACAAGGCAATAATCTCCGGCAGTATTGAAATTGTGTACTTGGGATTTGATGAAGTTGACAAAGGTCGTTTTTGTCTGGTCCTGATTGGTTTCTACTGGTGAGAAAGTTATCGAAGTGCTTGAAAAGATGGTAGTTGGTTGGTGAGAGGTCTGGGGAGTCGGTGAGGCAGATATTCGACGCTCAATTCATTAAATTTTTGGACGGTGGGCTCTATCGTGGAGATCAATCGGACCTCTTCTGTTGACCAGTGCCAGCTGCTGTTGACGCAATTTTCTGTAAATTTCGTCGATTTCTTCACAATAGGACTCTGCTGTGATGGTTTGGTCTTGTTGCAGAAAGTTATAGTAGGTTTTCGCCTTTGGGAAGTGTATCAGTGTTCAACTGTTGTACTGAACGATCCAAGAAAGGATCGTTTTGGTTTCACGTAAGCAAAGAAAAACAGACCTCAAAACGTGACCATTCAAATCGTGGAGCAACCACTTTTCGAGTTTTTTGACCTCTACAATATGTTATAAACCATTAAGAAAAGCATGGGAGCTGATGCCCAGTTCTTACGCCATCCCATGCACTATTTGTGATGGGTCAGTCTCCACCAGAGTCTTCAAATCCTCGTTCTGGATTACTGACCACTTCGGGGATCATTTTCGAGGCTAAAACCAAGGTTAAACAGTCCGTTCATTGACACTATCATTGCCAAATGCCTTGTTAATTTTGCGGGCTGTTTCGGCACTGCTTTTGTTCAAATTGTATTCGTACAAAGTGACCTCATTTCTGTTCTGGTTTTAACAGCAGAAAATGCACTCATAAATGAAATGGTCGCTGCACCATTTTACTCTATCATGTTCGATATGACTCAAGATATCTCAATAAGGGATCAAATGTGCAAACTTTACTGTTATTGTATGATCGAGAAAGACGAAAACGGAATGTCATATCAAGTTTTATATTTGATAAAGAAAGGGAGTCTTCAACTTCAATAACATTAAAAACATTTAACCTACTAGATGGGCAGGACATAATGATGTTATTTTTGCTTTGAAGTTCGTTTTGTTGAAGTCCAAAAAGCGCCAACGAAAACGATTCTGTTAAATTGCAAATCAGATGAAAGAAATGAAGCCACTTCACATAAGAAGATTGAGAACTACAATTTTATTATGTTATTGGGTTTTTACTGCAAAACTCTACAAACTATCGATTCAGCCTCTGAAGTACTTCAGTAGAAAGCCACAATCTTTCAAATGCTTTAAAACGTTTGGAAGAATTGGCAATTGGCAAAATTTGAAAATTTTGAAAAGGAAGCAAATAGTGCACCAGAAAAGTGGTCCATCAATCAACCCTGAGTTTTCTAAAACTCGCCAGAGGAATGTGAATCGCCATTTTGACGTACTTTGCGAAGATGAGCGTTTTCAGGATCCTGAAAGTTTGTTCAAAGTGAACATATTTCATTGAGTATTGGGCATCATTATTTATCAACCTAAATTGCTTTTCCTTCCAATGAATGACATTGTTTTCAATTTCTATGTTTTGCAACCTGCCACTTTATAAAATTTAAATGATACTGATATATTGAATAAAGTACTAGAGTTTATTGAAATGATATATTGAATAAAGCATCAGAGTGTATTGAAATATATAAAAAAGACATATCTGAATCATTTGCCCGAGACTATTTGCACTTGGAAAATTTCCCACATATCTCAAAATAGCTCTTTCCACTATTCAAAGGTGGTGATTCAGTAGATCCAATCAATAACAGACCAATCCCTTAACTTTCAACACTTTCGATGATGTTTCAAAAACTTGTGAAATAAAGGGTACCATCCTTTTCAGACACTCATAAAATTTCATCGAACACCCAACTTGGTTTTCAAAGTTCAAAGAGCACCAATAATTCAATCTTTCATTTTCTTGAGTATGCTTATATGAACCTCAACAACGGGGAAACTGTAGTAGCAGTATTTTGTGACTTTTCAAAAGCCTTCAATTGTCTAAATAATAGACTCCTTTTATGACTGGTTTGCCTCGTACTTGAGTAATAGAAAACAAATAGTACAATCGAATGGACAACTATCATCCAGTAAAGAGATCTTATCTGGTGTCCAACAGAGATCAGTTCTGGGTCCAATTCTTTTCCTTTTTTATTCAAATGATCTGGCCTTCATTCCAATTAGAGGAAATTTTACAATTTCTGCAGATGACACTGTCATCCTTTGGTATGAAAAAAATGCTCAGCAATTGAAATATATTATCACTAGTGATCTTGAAGTGTCAAAATAATGGTGTGATTTCAATTACTTATATTTTCACTGAGGATACACTACAAAAACACACTTCTGTCTATTTTCCACGCTATTTCTTTATTGACTAGTTTCGGCTATTACCTCATTTTCAAAGTGTGTTTTTGTAGTGTATCCTCAGTGAAGAAGTACTTATATTTTAATACAAAGAAATCAAACATGATCATTTGATACTAAATGGACAAACTTTAAAAAACAAAAAATATTTCTTAATTCCAAGGAGTATTTATTGATGACAAACTGAAAATTGATCTGCATATTAGAGCATTGACAAAAGAAACTAGCGGCGGGATATTATGCACTTGGACTTGTCTCAAATGAACTGAGCACATCTACAGTGAAGATGGTTTACTACTCTATGATTGAGGCTCATTTGACATGTGGAATTGCCTTTTGGGGATTTTCTAGTCAACAATTACTACAATCAGTGTTTGTCCTACAAAAAAGGGCAGTTAGCTATGTGAAGCTCCAATGCGTGAACTCTGTACACCATTATTTATCAGCAAGGGCATTCTAATCCTCACCTGCATTTTTTCTAATGTCTAATACACAAAAACCTCAATACCGTTGATACCCCAAAATCAAGCAGTCAAGTGAAATATGTTACAAGGCAACTATTGGAAAATAAAATACCTCTCCCTATTCTGAAATCTACTTTGACAAAGGACTCTCTGCTTTATTGTATTGTACTTTTTCTACACCCGTACTCTAACAATACACTTATATGACTATAATCCGTTTCATAATGATATCCATTATGATACAGATTTTTCATAACGATACAGATTATCAACCAATAGAAACCCATAATTTTTCAATCAAGAATCCTGTTCCTTTGTTTGTCCTAGATTCTAACCTAAGTACCTAACTAATTGCTTTATTTGTCAAAATCAGTTTTCATATTACCTACCTATACTATCAAAATATCTGAAAACAGCGATATAGAAGGAATACCATCGACTCCAATATTTTTAAAAGATCAGATTAATTACAGTTGTTATATTCAATATAAATATAATTAGAATCTTTATAGTTTTCATATATCCATGATAATACCATTTAGTTTGTGTTTTTTTAAAAAAATATGAGTCAATTACTGTAAATGTGTTCAATACAAATATAATATTTATAGTTTTTCATTATTTATAGGGTTTAGAAAAAATAGTGTATGCAACTCTCATGTAATGGTTATTAATACACTCGCATATACCATACAAAACTCGCCTCCGGCTCGTTTCGTATCCCGGTTAATGCTCGTGTCTTAATAACCATCATTACATGATCGTTGCATAATATACTATTATTGGTCAGTAATACACGACATAATGTTTTGACAAGTCATTGACTACACCTAATCCTAAATTTAAATAAAATTTGTTTATGATTAAAATATACATTGGATTTCACAATAATTATTTTACATTTTCATGACACTGTTTTTTGGATTCCAAATTTCAAAATTTATAAAATTTATTTACATGTTTGTTAAAATGGGTTCAATAATGTTACACACAGTTTATCGAGTAACATTGAGGAAATCTAAATTCAGAGATGTCATAATAGGCAGAGCATTGTAAGCGAGTTTTCAGTTTTGCTTTAAAAATGGCTATTGGAGCTTCTTTGATAAAGTCTGGTAGAGAGTTGAATAATCTGATACCAATACGTTTTTTATTCGTATTTAGTTTTTATGTGATATTTTTTATATACCCACTCATTTTATCTATATTTGACATATGTTCATTTTTCAACTAATTAGTATAGGATTGTTATATTTTGTAAATCTTTTGTATATTTAAAAAAGCACCCTTCAATATTATTTTCCTAACATGATTTGTCAATAAGAACTCGATTTCTTGGACAATAAAGTATATTTTTCTCTATCTCTCTTTCTATCGAAAGAATCAGAGCTATCAGTTTTTGAAAACGGAAAAAGATTGTTTTCCGAAACGTTGACCACTAGAAAAGCTAAGTATAAATATTGACTTTTTTCTATTGACTTTTTCAGTTTGTAGGCAAAATTTATCAATACAACAAGTAGACGACTCGGCGTTGAAAATGAAAATCGCTATTCATTTTCTCACGATTGTCGACTTTTCATGCCCGGTCAGGCAAGTAGGTCCTTTCGTCGACGCCGAGCACCCAGCAAGACCAGAGCCGGGAAGTCCCCGTGATTCCCGGAGGATCTTTTGCGATTTAGATTAAACGCGAGAAAATAAAACTTCAAAGATATAAGTTTCGAATTTTTTTAAGTTCCCTAAGAGAAAACTACTCTAAAACAAAAATCGCGGGGTACGACCAGTCACCACGTTGGCCGCTGGGACCGGACTGGAAGTTTCCCTAACGATCCCTATCCTAGAAAATACACAAGTCACGAATTTACCTGCCTAACACCCATCCCGATGACGAGAAA